ATAAACCCTTCTGACGGTTTACAATTACTCTCCACCGAGGCCACACACATCCCCCGCAAACGAAACATCCCTTTCCTCCATCTGCTGCCCAAACTCAATTTTACCAATCTTTCTTAATTTTTTCAGTTATTTGGGAAAAAGATAATTTGCTGCATTAAGAAGTTGGAACATCTCTGAATTTGTCGGTCATTTGTACTTTTCTTCTGTGAATTGTTTGTTCATAGCCTCTGTCCATTTTGAGTTAAATATTTATCATTATTGATTTCTAGGCAGTCATTTATATTGTGGATATTCTATCAACATCCAGCGTATAAATAAATAAATAAATAAATAAATAAATGGGGACAACTAGCTAAACTTTAAAAAGGTACTTCCTATTTTAGAGCAAATTCCACATGGATTAAAAATAATGAAATCATAAAAGCACAATCCTTTCTTACAGCAGTCTGCCAGTTTCTTGATATTAATTTTAAAAAGTTTTATATTTATGTTGAGGGAAAAGTAATTCAAATAGGCAGAACAGAGCATTATAGACTACATTAGAAAATCACTATAAGAAGACTGTGACAAATCTATGTCACTGAAAGCACATTTGGTCCTCGGACAATGCAGAGGTTTGGGTCATTGCCTCGCCACAACCCTCCTGCTCCAGCACAGCTGAAAATTCACTTAACTTTTGACATCCCCAAAATTTAACTTCCAGTAGGCTGTTGGTGACTGGAAGCCTTATTGATACATAAATGTAAAGCAACACATAATTTGTGTATGTATTATACACTGTATTCTTACAATTAAGCTAGAGAAAGTAAAATGCTATTGTGAAAACCACAAGAAAAACAGATTTACAGCATTTCACTGTATTTAGCAAAACAGTAAGTTTACGCCACCTGTTTGTAAGAAAGTTCATGTATAACCTGAACCTGCATAGTTCAAACCCTGTTCAGGGTCAACAGTAGCTATGTTTGGAAATTATGAACATGGTAAATTAATTACTAAGTGAAAAATGTAAGTTATAAAATAAAGCTTATGATTCTGATTTTTATAAAACAAATACATTACAATTACCTGTATTATAAAACTATATTACAAAATTAACAAAGGCCATTTCTAGGTGCCTGGAGTTTATAATAGAAAAATTAAATGCCTTTTAAAATGCATTACTTTTGCAGATATCCCTTCTCAGCAGACATAAATATGGTTAAGCTTCTGGAAAGAAGGGACTGTGACTCATTCCTTTCTGTGTAGTTCAAGTGCACAAAGTCCTACACAGAAGTCACCCCACAGACCTTTGTTAACTGAATGAAATGGGGACTATTTGACAAACACAATCTTTATATCAGCTACTTAAAATTCTCAAATTAGAAACATTTCCAGGAGAAACATATTTTCTCCCCAAGTAATATTTCATTCTTATTTTTAATGTTTAAGTAGGAAGTGTTCTGCTTTTAACAAACAAGAGAGAAATGCTGGGCCTCCCCAGTGGTGCAGCGGTTGAGCGCTGGGTTGCGAAGCTGCCCGCAGCCTCTGCAGCATCGGTTCGATCCCCGGCTGCTCCCCGGCCACCGGAGGAGGGTCCCGCACGGCGCGCAGACCTCTCCTGCCGCCCGCTGCTCCCCTCAGCAGTGTGCTTCGGTCCTTCTGCCTGCTCTGCTCCCCGCTCTGGCTCTGGTGAATTCTCTCACCCTCCCGCGCTTCTGACTGTGCCCAGTGCTTGTATAAATAAATAAATAAAATAAAATAAAATAAAATAAATCTTTTTAAAAAAAGAGAGAAATGCAAGACTCTTAATGTATATGAACTGAATGTATGTGAAAAGGGGTGGGTTGGCAAGTATTTCAGTTTTGAAATAACTTACGGCAAATACAAAAGCATATATTGAGTTGTCTCAGACACAAAGTCTATCTCTGATTTATAAAGTACGTTATTCATACTAAGTATTTATTGGAAGCATACAGCAAGGTTCTATGTATATAGAAGGGTCACAACTATTTATTAAGACTTTACAATATGACTTTAAAAACATATACTTGGTTCATGACCCATCAGTCCTACTGTAAGCCCCACTGAATCACATATAGAAGTACAATATAATTAAACCAATGTGTAGAGACACAGGAAGAGCCAAGTGGATCAGTGCAACAGAAATACTCCCCAAATAAACCCAACTCATAGAAATTGAGCATATGACAGAGAGCATGTCAAAACAGTGGGGGGAAAGGATGCACTAACGGCTTGGTAGCAGTACTGGGGCAAAGCTATCTGAATTGCAGGAGAAGTGTGACTTGTGCTACACATCATATGTGTAATATATTCCAGGTGGATTAAAGAGCTACACGTTAAAAAAGAGAAGACGACACAGGAGGCTGGTTAATTAATCTTGGGATAAGGTCTTCTCAAACAAGACACAGAAGGCAGAAAGTCACAGGGAAAATACTGATGAATACGAGAAGATAATTTCAAATTTCTGTTCAACAAAAAGGAGACATGCAAAACACCGAGAGAAAATATTCGCCACACACATAACACGTAATATCTTACTGATATAGTATGATATTAAAGAACATCTAATAAAGCAACAAGAAAAATAAGCAAATTCAATAGAAAAATGGGCAAAAACCAAAGCTGACAAGTCACAGAAGACAAAGCACCACTGGTCAAACATGGATTTGGGGAGTCCTCTAATTACAATAACAGCAGCTGACACGTACTGCTCACCAGGCATCCGGTACTTCTCAATGCTTTAGATGTCAACTCCTTTAATCTCCCACCAACCCTATGAGATAGCAACTATTTTTATCCCCGTCTACAGAGAAGATGGAAGCAGAGGTTGAAAAAGCTGCTCAGGGATGCACAACCAGGAGTGCGGGGCTGGGCTTCCCACACAGGCAGCGGGGTTCTACAGTCCAGACTCTCTCTTTACCTCCATGCTACGTCACCGCTCCAGGGATGCAGGGAGCCAGGGAAGTACAAATTCAAACAACAATCATTTATTGTACAAATTAGTGAAAATAGAAAAGACCAACATAGTCCACGTGGAAATGAGTTTTGCCGACACTGCTGGCGGGAGAATGGAACAATGCTTTCTTTTGGGAGTAGAACCTCTTGTCGGAAGAGGTGTAAACCTATTCCTCTAATCATTTGCAATTAAAAACAAAAACAAAACAAAACTCCCTTCTTAAGGAAACATTCTGAAAGAAAGTTCAGAAAAACAATTTACCCAACGGACAGGTGGTTTCTTAGGAGAACATTCATTTTATTCCTACAGGTAGCAACAAATCCTAAAACTCCTTTTCTCTCTTAATCCTCATGCCAATAAAGAGTACCATGGGATAAGCATTCCATTGCTGCCATGCTAACTTTTAAATGTGGCTGCTTCCCTTGAGATTTAATCAGCCTTAGGTGAAACTTGCCCTGACAGCCTGTGTCTTGACTGGATAGCATCCCTGAATTATTCACCTTCCCTCCCAGCCGGCTGATGCAAGTTCGGTTTCGATTCTTCCATATTTGTCGCTTAGCCTCTTTCTCAACGGGTTCAAGAAGGAAGACTCAAGGTGAGAAGTTCAAACTTTCCCTTTCCGCTTTATTGAAAATCCATAAAAAAGACTGTTCCTTGTTTTCAGCTCTGTATTGATTCCGAGCACACAGAAACATGGCTTCTGAAATCATTTCCCACAGCCTCTACTTCTATAGCATACCTGGTAAGTAGCAATACTTCTGGGAAAAATTAAACCCATGCCACAGCTTTTCTAACACTTCAGCCGTCCTCTATATTCTTAGAGGCTCCCTTAGGAAGAGCAACATGGAAAAGCACAGGGGGCTAGAAAAGGGGATGTGATAAATTCACCACATAAAGTTGATTGTGAGTGGCAATATGCAAAGACTGTAAAGCCCTCAGCTTTTTGAAGAGGGCACAGCAGGTCAGCCTCCATTTGAACAATTTCATTTGTATATCCAAGACTTCCTACAAAATTTTTTTTTGCATGCTGCATTCTAAAATTTAGTACCAACTTGGTTTTTGACTATGACAAAGCAATCACAATTTGCAAGGGTGACAACGGGTCGGGTGTGAGGCACAAGCAGCTCAGAGAACAGTGTTTTAACCAACAGGGGCGAGCACAATGTCACAAAAAGGAATGTAAGAGTGTTCCTTAGGGTTCAGACGGGATGTAAGAAGAGCTTAAGGCCGGCAGGAGAATGAAAACATTGTAAAGCACAAGCCTGCATTTTTTTCACCCGCACCCTAAGGTTACAGGTTTCACTCCCTGAAAACACAGAACTTCCCACGACTGGCGGGAGGAGGCCGCGCCGCAGGCCCCGGCAACGACGCCCCAGCCCGGGCGATCCTACAGCGGCCCCGGCGCGATGCAGTGATTGCTGGACAGCTCCGAGGGTGCGGCGCCCGCCACCCCGACGCGCGCCCGCCGGGAACCTGCCCAGGAGCCCCGGGGCCGCACCGGAGCGCCTCCGCCTCCGGGCACCCCGCGCGGGCCGGGGGTCCCCACGCCGCCGGGAGGGGGCCGCGGGGCTGCGGGGCGCGGCGCCGTGCGAGGCCAGGCGGCTGGAGCCACAAGTGCGGGAGAAGTTGTGGAGCCGACGGGGAGGGCGGGGAGGGTGGGGGGGCCGCGCGCGTGGCACCCCGGCGGCACCCGCCCCCCACAAGGTCGCTCGCCCCGAGTCACTTTCCCCGCCGCCCGGGGGGCGTCGCTCCCGCGGCTGCCGGACTCCGCCACGGCCCCCGCGGCCCTTCGGGCGGCGGCGCCCCTGCCCGGCCTCGGGGCGCGGGGGGGACCCCGGCGGCCTCCCGACCCCCGCTTCCGGCGCCCCCCGGGGCCCGAGCCCGGGCCCGCCGCCGCCGCCCCCGGGCCCCGCAACGTCCCGTCCCCGGCCCGGGCGCCCCCTCCCGGCCCCCCGCCCCGGCGCGGACGCCGCCCCCCGCCCCCCCGCCCGCCGCCCCGGCGCCCCCGAGGGCGCGCCCCCCCCCCCGCCCGCCCGGCGGATACAGTTTGAAGCCCCTCAGGATCTCCCTGGCCCGCTCGTCCTTGGCTGACATGATGCGGCGGCCGCCGCCCGCGGCTGTCCCACGCCGGCCCGGCCGAGCCTCGCAGACGGCGCCCGACGCCGGGGACGAGCCGCAGCCCGGCCTGGACACCTCGGGCGAGAAGCGGCAGCGGCCAGACCCGGACGGCCTCGCCCTCCCGCGGCTCCCGCTCGGAGCCTTCTCCTTCCCCGTCGCGCAGCGCCCGCCCCGCAGCCAATGGCAAGCCCGCGCCCGCGACGGGCGTCCCGGCCAGCCAATAGGAGCGCTCAGCGGCTTCGCAGGGGGACGGGAGCGTCCGTGGAAAGGGCCCTCCCCGGGAAGTCCCGTAGGGCAATTTTTCTTTCGGGGCGGTTGCCTAGCGTTTGCCCCACGGAGGCTGGCCCCACGTCTGCCAAGGCTCTAGGGGGCCGCTCCCGCCGCTGAGCACCCTAGGGCTCTGGGATGACGGCGGGTTGCCCTGTGCGAGGTGGCCGAGACTACATTTCCCAGCATTCCAGAGGCGCCCCCGCCCCCGAGACCACAGATCCCAGCACGCAACAGAAGCCCACGGACTACAAATCCCAGCATCCCTTGCCCCCTGTAACTTAGACTCCAGTGTGCCGCTCAGGGTGCGCAAATGCATGAAGCCGCCTGCAGTTTTGGTGCTTCCAGAATCCGGCGGCTTGAAACCAGGCGGGAAGACCCTCTTCACCCTCAAAAGATGGTAACAGCCTACAGAGAGGTAACTTCTGTTTACATGGAACTCAGAAATCTCCTGCAAATCATGGTAAGGCTGCAAACAACAAACAAAAACAATGATTAAACCATGAAAGATAATACCATGAAAGATAATACCACAAAACGACTCCTTCGGATCGTGTTTGTTTTAAGTCTGGGGTGTCTTTTATGTGTTTTGCAGGGGTTTCTGGCGTGCTCCTGCTTTGAACTGGGAGAGACATCGATTGTACACTCAGAATATCAACACAGAAAGGTACTTTAGAGAATTTGCTGATCCAACCCCTGTTGTTTTACTTATGAGGAAACTGAGGCTCAGGGAGGCTAGGAGATTGTTCAAGGATGACAGCAAGTTGGAATAGTGTTAGAACTTGGCCTTAAGTCTCCTGACCCGCAGTCTGGGCTCACACCACACCAGGGTGGAGATATTTTTAGCAGCACGTCTACGTGATTGTTAGTCTTGCTGAGGTTTTCCTATCCAGGTTGAAGCATCCAGAGGTTAAGTCAGTATTTCTTTGGTAATTTTTGTGCAGGTGAAGGAGTGAGTGAGATGTTTGTTTATCTTCAGTCTAGGTAGGACTTGGTGTTTTGACTTGTTGTTTTTTACTCAAGGTGACCTTTAATGTGATTTTAGGCATTAGGTGAAAATGTAGTGTAAGCGAAATTTTCCTCGGAGACCTCCTCTCTCCCTTCCTAGGACTTCCTTTTCCTGTCCCCCTTTTACTCCTCTGGGTACCCACCCAATTTTTCCCTTCCTGTAATTCAACAGTTTTTCAGTTTTTATTATTGGCCAGGCGCTCTGTTGGTAAAAGACATGGCCACTGCCACCAGGAAAATAATCATCTAGTTAGGGAAAAAAGGAGACTCCTTGAGAGTCAAGAGGGACTGTGGTAAATGGCATAAAGGAAATGACATCAGGTGCTACATTGGCCCTGATGGCGAGATTTATTCCAGCTGGTGGATTTTAAACTTAGGATTGTTTTTTACATTAACACATTTTGTCTTTCCATTTTCTGGTCAATGAAATGTCATATATATATACAATAATGGTGTGTTTTTACATATATATGTATACACACTCGTGTCAACACCCAAATCAAAATATAGAACACTTGCTGTAAATGTGCCTTTCCCATCCATGCTGCATCCTCCCATCCTCAGGTAGCCCCTCTTCTGGTTTCTATGCCCATCCATCAGTTTTGACTTTGTTTTAAACATAACCACACATTAGGTACAATATGAATCTAACTTTTTTAATTCATCAGTGTTTTTGTGGGATTCATCCATGTTGTGTGTGGCAGTAACTTGTTTTCTTTAAATTGCCGAGTAGTGTTTCCTTGTGTGTGTATAGCACCGTTTTATTATACTGTTGATGGACGTTGGGGTTACCAGTTATTGATCTTTGGCTTAGATTAACAAAGCTGCATTGAAAATTCTTATGTTTCTTGTTTGTGGACTTTTGCACCCATTGCTGGAGAGGAGTTGCTGGCTTATAGGGTGTGTATATCATCAGCAATGGTAGATACTACTAGTTTTCTAAAGTGATAATATCAATTTTCACCTTCACCAACAGTGCTTCTTATCCTTGTCAATCCGGGGTGTCAGTCTTTTAAAATTTTTTTAATTTTAGCCATTCTGGGTAAATGCCTTAGCTCATAATTTTAATTGGCATTGTCTTTGCTGCTGGGCACCTTTTCATATGCTTATTGGCTATTTGTATGTCCTCATTTGTCTAGTACCCGCTCAAGCCTTTGCCCACTTTTTTAACTGGGCTGCTTGTTGTAATTCTTTATGTAGTCTCTGACTTATCTTTGCACTCTCTTGCTGATGTCTTTTGATAAAGAGAAAGTCTTAGTGTAGTTCACTGTTTTCTTTTATGATTAATGCTTTTTGCATCTAGTTAATGAAATCTTTGCCTACAGAGGTGATAGGATTTTAACAGGCAAATGAGGGAAGACCATTGCAAAAAGGAAGAGCATACCTGAGACAGGCCCTTGGCCTTGGAGAGGGAAGGTGTAAGTTTCTCTGGGCCTGGCAAGGCCTGGAGTTTGGACTGTGAAGACAAAGCTGGAGGTATAGAGGTATAGTGCAAAGGGCTTTAACTGAGACTTAGAATCTAGACATCATTTTGGAGGAACTGGAGGCGCTGCCAGAATATTTATGAACTCAAACAGAACTTAGTTGTCTTCTTTCCATGCCAAATTGCCCCTCCTCCTCTGTAGCCCTCTTCACTTAAAACCATCTCTAGACAGCTCTGATCTGACTGATACAGTCTTTCCCTCTCCCTGCATTTAACTGGTCACCAAGTCTGACGAATTCTGTGGTCTAAATGTCTTCAATAATGTCCTTTGCCCCCCTATGTCCAACTCCCACTGCCTTTGTTCAAGATCTCACTGTCTCTTGTCTGGAATGTATCAGTCACCTCAAGGTTTGCTCTGATTCTAATTCTTTCCACATCCAATCCATGACTGTAGCAGCTGGTGTGATCATAATAAGATGGCAATTAATTCATACCTCTCTACAGCTGTCAAACCCTACATAGCTTCCCAGTGCCCTTAAGATAAAAATAACTCCTTTCCATGGCTTACACCCTTTGTGATTTGCTTGTTCATTTCTTCTAGGGTCAACTCAAGTTTCATCTCCTTCTGAAGCCTGCCTTAAATCCCCTCTCCTTAGGCGGGATTATCTGTACCCCTAGGGTACCTGTGGCGGTGTCTCTCACAGCCAGACATGGCTCTCTCTGTGCAACTGTGAACTCTTTCTCGTTGGAACTTTGCTGTATTTAGGTTTTTGCTGGGCATAGTGCATGGCCTGTGGTTTCCAAAACCCTTGATGACCTGAATCTAGCCTCTGTGCTCCTCACTTATCACCCCTGAATGTCAGGGTCTAGCCACTCTAGATTTCTTTCCTGTGTCAGTATATGCTACATAGCGCAAACTTCTGTGACTATGCTCACTGCCCTATTTCTTCCCTCTTCTGCCAGGAAGATGCCTGTTTTTTCTTCCCCAAAGAAAAGAACTTTCTTTGCTTCCTAAGTGTTGCTATATATCTTGCAAATTACTTAACACATTGAAGCTTTTTGAGGGTAAGAACCTCTTCTTGTCTTTATATAGTTTCTAGAACATAATAGATGCTAAAGAAATGTTTTTGAACAAATGAATAGGTTGGTTCTATGCTCCTTTCCATCTATTGGGTCTGATTTCTGCATTCTAATTCACAAAAGGCGAATAGGGTTCTTTTCATTTCTTCAAGACAGTCTCTGGTGCATACTTTGAAGGAATCAGCTTAAGTGTTCAGGTATGTGGAGTTTCTTAGTCTTCTGACAGGAGAGTTGCTAAATACCAAATGCAACGCCACAGCACCATTTTGGTCACAGAGAACGATTATTGATTCACCCCATCTCTTACTTAATATATCTTCTGAACAGAGGTCAAGAACATGGTCTTGGGCTTTAGAGAGCCCGGCTTCTAAAACGGACTTGCCGCTCACTGGCTTGGATTTTAAGGCATGGTAAACAAAGCTGAAAAGAGTTAGGAGAATTCAATAGAACAAGGTACGGCACCTGGTATAGGGAACAACGCTCAACAGACAATAATGATTAGGCTAATAGGGCTCAGCACCCCAGAGTAGCCTCAGTCGCCAAAGGGAACTCTTGAGAGGTAAAGCTCGACCAGAGGGGTGGATTTTGGGCCCAGGATGGTGATGACGATGCTTTCAGCCCCAGTATGGCCTAGGCTGCCTCCTTCGCCCCTGCCTACCCCGTTCCTGGCTTAAGACGGGGCTCAGACCCCTCCCCTTTGGCTCCATCCCCCCTGGATGGAGGTGTGAGGCCAGGAACTAACGCTGCGGTGGGGAGGCGGGGGGAACCTAGTGTGGGCGGAACTCGAGTGCAGCGGCGGGAGGCTTCCGGGGGGAGTGGCTAGGGAGACGGGTCGGCGGAGGCAGAAAAGCGCCGGACGCCGGCCGAACATGGACGCTTGACAACCCGCGGGCAGGCGCCGGGAGGCCGAGCCAGCGACCGAGAGGACGGATCGGCGACGAGAACAGGTAGGGGCAGGCGAGAGGGCCGACCCCGCGGGGCCCGGCCCCCCGGGGTAGTCCGGACCCTCTGGCGGGCTGCCTGCTGCCGGGGAAGCCCGCGGCCACGCCGCCCCGCCCCCGCCCGGGATCGCGCCCGGCGGCTCCTCACGCCACAGCGGCCGCCACAGCCGCGGCCCTGCCGGGAGCAGCTGCTGGGCCTGAAGCCCACCCAGCCTGCGACCCTCGGCCTCCGCGCTGGGTGCTCTCGCTTCCCCGCCCCCGGAGCCTGCCCTGTGCGGGCCGTCCATATGCGCCCCTCTGGCTCGGGAGCTCATCGCCTCCGTGTCCCTGTCCCCGCGGACCCTCCCACCCCAGAAGAAAGAGACTACCAGGTTCTCCTGACCTCGTAGCCCCCACGGGCTTCGCTCCTGAGGCCGAGATTTTTTTTTTTTTGAGGGACCGAAGTTTCTATCCAATTCTTTAGCCCCTCTTCTCCAAGCTCTTCCATTCAGTCTCCACACAGTTCAAAACACTTGGGAGATGTTTTTCCCTCTTCCGTCAGGCATCACCACTCTCCTCACCCCTCCAGCCTTTCTCCTATACCCTTCTCATTCCCCAGCCCTTCCCAGCGACCTTGGCTTCCTGACGCTTCACTTTTTTCCATAGGTAACTCTTAGGTGACATGCTTGTTTTTCTAATACTGTCAGAGTGTCGCTACTCTGTTTGCCTGCCTCCGCGGAAACTTAGTTTCCCTTGCGCCAAATAATCCTCCTTTGACTTGTTGAGTGCTTCACTCTAATAAACCTCTTCATTTGGTCACACTGTCCCAATATGTGTCATTCTTGGAGGAGCCATCTTTTCTTATGCAAGACACCTGTAGAGTTGATTTGCAGTGTGTGTGTTCATTTACACTCAGTAGGTAATTAGGTTATACCATCTGTGGGAACCTTTGTCTTTCATCAGATTGGCATTTCTTACTCAAATCTTTTGATTTGTTCTTGAGATTCTGTACAAATTCTGAAGTCAGGTTTGGTAAAGAAGGCCAAGTAAGGGATTTTCTTCATGGACTCACACAGTGTGTATTTTTTTCGTTTGAATATGTTGCTGCTTATCTTTCAAGATGATTTCCCCCCTTGTTCTGTGCTTAAATGACAACTTGTCTTAAATGAGAAATTTTTCTTGTTTGATTTTTCTGTCTGATTTGTAAGTGTGACTAACAACACATGGGAGCTATAGTTACTTGCATGTGCTTACACCTGTCACCTCTTTATGAACATGAGCCTTTGTTTCTTAACTAGATGGCCATAAAACAGCTACTGAGAAAGTCCTATGTATTTCTTTTTTTTTAAAAAAAGATTTATTTATGCGTACAAGAACTGGGGTGTAGCCCAGAGGTGCAGGGGGATGAGAGTATTCATCAGAGACGGAGTAGGGAACAGAACAGGCAGCTCTACTGAAATACACTGCTGAGGGGAGCAGCGGGAGAGACAGGAGAGGTCTCCTGTGCTATGTGGGTCAGCTCCCTGGTTGAGGATCGAACTTGTGTTGCAGTTGCTGTGGATAGCTTCTTAGTGCTGAGACTCTAACCCCTGTGCCACCAGGGAAGCGCCTTATGTATTTCTTTAGGTTAGGTTTAAGGGCTTAGAAGGTGCTGCTTTGTTTTGGGCCTCTCTGGTGGCACAAGGGGTTAAGTCTCAGCACTATGAAGCTATTGGCAACCACTGTAGCACGAGTTTGGTCCCCGGCCAGGGAGCTAACCCCCATGGTGCAGCAGACCTCTCCTGTTTTGCCCGCTGCTCATCTCAGCAGTGGATTTCAGTCAATATGTCTGTTCTGCTTCCCACTCTGTCTCTGTGAATCCTCTTACCCCCCTGCACCTCTGGCCTACAACCCAGCTCTTGCATGCATAAATAAATAAATCTTTAAAAAAAAAAAAAAAAGGTGCTGCGTTTGCAGGAGGGCCAGACAGGGTTGAAGTAGCTTTTACTCAGTGTGTTTCAAACCTTGGAATAAGGGCAGCAAGCCTTTAACTTCAGGTTGAACCTTACCCATCTCACAAAGTGGTCATTGCATCTGGCCCCAGAAATTGTTTTTTCTTTACTAGTATTATAAAGTAAAAGCATTCTGAAGTCTGATCTAGCATTAAATACACATGAACTTAGCCAAGAGGAAGGAAGAATGAGCATGGCACTTTTCTTTTGGACAGCTCTCAAGGCCAGAGAATGGCAGGTGAACAGAAGCCCTCAAGTAACCTCCTGGAACAGTTCATTTTACTAGCCAAAGGGACCAGTGGCTCAGCCCTCACTGCTCTGATAAGCCAAGTCTTGGAGGCTCCTGGAGTTTATGTCTTTGGAGAACTGTTGGAGCTGGCCAATGTGCAGGAGGTAAGACAAGTCTCCAGTTTCTCTGTCTTCTTTGTTCTAAACCTTTCTGTGATTCTCCAAGTTTCTCAGCCATTACAGTGCTGAAACATTATAGACCCGTGAGATGAGGGATGGTAGTGGCGGGGTAGGGAAGAGAGGAGGGATGATGTCCTGAGCGCCTTCTGGTCAGTGTTGTCACATGAGCGGGGGATGGAAGGTGACTGGGTTGCTAATAATTTAAAAGGGCAGCAAAGATTGAATTTTCAACCTGATAAATTGGAAAAGTAGCTTATAACCATAGACTGATGCTTTACGGGCAATTTCAGGGATTCTTAGTGGCCTCTGGTGCAAATACGAGCAAGGAAAGTTGGTCATGTGTAACCATGGCAAGAAAAGATTGCTGTTGAACATGAGAGGCCCAGGTGGAGAATGTATCGTTCCTGTGGAAAAAAGCAATCTCGTGCTAGTGTGGATGTGTAAATGACGTAATGTGGAAAGTTGGGAAGTAGTTCTTTTTGCTGTGTTTGCTTGTTGTTATTAAAATCTTGGTCATCAAGTTTTGATGGTTATACTTTATTTATTTATTTATTTATTTATTTTAAATTTTATTTATTTATTTATTTATTTTTTTATAGAGGCATGTTTTTATTTATTTATTTGTTTGTTTGTTTTGTTTATACATGCACTGGGTACAGTCAGAAGCGCGGGAGGGTGAGAGAATTCACCAGAGCCAGAGTGGGGAGCAGAGCAGGCAGAAGGACCGAAGGACACTGCTGAGGGGAGCAGCGGGCGGCAGGAGAGGTCTGCGCGCCATGCGGGACCCTCCTCTGGTGGCCGGGGAGCAGCCGGGGATCGAACTGGCGCCGCAGAGGCCGCGGGCAGCTTCGCAACCGAGCGCTCAACCGCTGCGCCACCGGGGAGGCCCAATGGTTATACTTTAAAAATGAGAAGATCAGTGATGAATGAACAGGTGGGACACAGAGGTGTGAAGCAGTCTCTACTTTCAACCTCTGCTTCCTAATTCAGATTGTTTTATATTAATTGAATGGCACTTTATATTGATTGACTTTGAGCACTTACTCATTTTTTTAAGATTTATTTATTTATGCATATAAGAACTGGGGTACAGGCCAGAGGTGTGGAGGGTGAGAGGATTCACCAGAGACACAGTGGGGAACAGAACAAGTGGATTGACTGAAATCCACTGCTGAGGGGAGCAGTAGGTGAGGCAGGAGAGGTCTGCTGCACCATGTGGGTAGCTCCCTGGCCTGGGATTGAACTCGTGCTGCAGTGGCTACGGATAGCTTCATAGGTTAACCCCTTGCACCACCAGGGAGGCCCGAGCACTTACTGATACTTTTTCATTGACTGACAGACAAGTCTGGTGACATCTTTATTACTCCGAGGGCCGTGCTAGGGAGTTCTTGGCTGGTATTGGCATCTTTTGCACTGTTATGGCTGCTTTTGGGCCTCCCTGGATGGTGCTGGCTCTGTGGTGGCCACTGCAGTGGATCCTGGCTGTTCTGGTTCTTGTGGCTCTTGTGCATGGTGTGCTGAGGTGGCCCAGGCGCTCTAGGTGATGGGAGTCTAGTTCTGTGCTTCATGACCACTGGGCACCCTTGTCTTTGACTGCAGGTATGCCCTCGGCCTTGTGGTCAGTCCCTCACAGCAGCAGGAGTTGCAGCATTCAGGCTGTGGGGCTCGCTGCCATGCAGCTGCGTGTTCCCCTTGATCAGGACCTGGAGCAGGTCCCCATGCCCAGCCATCGCATGGCATCATCTTCTGTGAGAGCTGGAAACAGCCACTTCCATTCTTTAATGGTGATTTTTTATTGTCAGTCTTGCTTGCTAGACTATGAGCTCAGGGAGGGGAAGGCCATGGTAGCCATCCCTGTTTCCTTAGACCTCCTCATACAGCATGACGCTCAGAAGACTTCCAGTGAAAGTTTAACTTCCTGGAGATGGAAGAGGAATCCCATGAAGGAAATAGAGGAAAACTAGGTTCCTTTAAAAAGAAAAAGAACATACACACTTTTTAGACAGCAGAATTGAGAGGAAGGTGCGGAGATTTCTAGTCTTCCCTCACACACGCAGCGCCACGCCCTGAGCGTCGCCTGCCAGGCTGGAACCCGCGTTGACTCGTCACCTGAAGACTGTAGCTCACGTTCATCTTCGTGCTCGGTGTTGGCCGTGAGCGTGATGGCATGAGCCCGCCATTGCAGCGCCGCGCACAGTAGTTCCACTGCACCTAGAAACCCCCTGCTCTGCCTGTTTGTTCCTCCCCTTTAATTCCTGGCAACCATTGATCTTTGTACTGTTCACAGTTTTGACTTTTCTGGAACATCATAGCTGGGATAATACAGTGCGTTGCCTTTGCAGATTGGCTTCTTTCTTTTAGTGTTAATGTGCACATCTTCATGGCTGGGTCTCGCATCAGTTTTCAGCAGAAGAGATAGCCCAGGGTGGTCCCTGCCAGGTTTATGAAAGGCCTGAATTAACCTGCCAGGTGGTTGCACCTCTGGAGACTGGTGAAGAGGAGAAGGATGAAAGCCAAAACGAGAAAGACCTCACTGATGTCGGCCCACAGGAGTCCTGGAGAGGCCGCCAGGGAGCAACACGGAGTCTGTCTCACTCAATGTCGTGGTTACTTCCCTGAAAAGTGGCCCACAGTTGGTGGTCTCTTCCGCCTGTGGTTCAGGACCTCGGGGGGCTCCTGACCACCCTAGAAGAGAGTGGCATTAGGACGCCAATGTGCCTTCAGCTTGCCCTTCCCTGTGTGTGGGCTGGGAATAAGCCTTTCTGCCTTTTTGCGCTTGGAAATTTTGGATGCAGTTCTGGGAGCCTTTTTTTTTTTAAAAAAAGATTTATTTATTTATTTATACAAGCACTGGGTACAGTCAGAAGCGCGGGAGGGTGAGAGAATTCACAGAGCCAGAGCGGGGAGCAGAGCAGGCAGAAGGACCGAAGGACACTGCTGAGGGGAGCAGCGGGCGGCAGGAGAGGTCTGCACGCCATGCGGGACCCTCCTCCAGTGGCCGGGGAGCAGCCGGGGATCGAACCGGCGCTGCAGAGGCTGCGGGCAGCTTTGCAACCCAGAGCTCAACCGCTGCGCCACCGGGGAGGCCCTCTGGGAGCCTTTTTTAAAAAGATGGGTGAGGTTGGGTGGGGTTACCATTGGTGTCCACTGCATACTACGTTGTATTCCTGTCTAGAGTTTACTGGGCTTGGTAAATTAGAGAAATGGGTCAGTGTTTGGAAGAGAAGCACCTAGTGGGCGCGGCGGACGGCGCAGCAGAGCAGTTCCCTTCCGTTCCTTCTACGGACGGCACTTTGCTGCCGGTGTCCACGAGGAGTAAGTCCTTTTAATGAAAACTTGGACGTAGGGCAGCGATGTCCTGCTTCTTGCCCTAGCCTGGCGCTCTGGCACATCTTGTTCTCACCTCCCAGCATCTGTGGTCCCTGTGTTGTCCTGGGACTTGAAACCAGCCCTGGATTTCCTTGGGCTTGGATGCGTGGCAGCTTGTGTGGCACCTGCCAAGCTCGGTGTAGACAAAGCCGCTCCAGCCTTCGTCTTACTGCCAGGGGACTCCCAACAAGGTTTGAGCTGCCTCTGGTACTGCTTTGTGTGCGTGTGTGTGGGCATGCCAGGTGGAGCATACAACAGGTATTCCTGAGAAAGAAAAGCTAAATTTGAGGCCTTACTATTTTTATGTTTTTCCCCAATCAAAAAATTGGAAGGGACCTCAGGTACCTCCTCATAAAACAGTGTGAACCACCCTCTGCCTGAGCCCTGCAGCTGGGTCTGTGAACTGTTTTTTGCCTCCTCAGCTTGCAGAAGGCGCGAATGCTGCTTATTTGCAGTTGCTGAACCTGTTTGCCTACGGGACATACCCAGATTACCTAGGTAAGTTGGGTCAGACCCTTTAGGATTCTTTTTTTTCCAAAGATTTATTTTTGTTTTATTTATGCATACAAGAACTGGGTGGGGTTTAGGCCAGAGGTGCGTGTGTGTGTGTGTGTGTGTGTGTGTATGTGTGAGAGTGAGTGAGAGAGAGGGGGAGAGAGGAGAGAGAGAGAGGAGTCACCAGAGACCAAGCGGGGAGCAGAACAGGCAGATCTACTGAAACACACTGCTGAGGAGAGCAGTGGGGAGACAGGAGAGGTCTGCTGTGCCATGTGGGTCGCTCCCTGGCCGGGGATTGAACTTGTGCTGCAGTGGTTGCCAATAGCTTCATGGTGCTGTGACTTAACCCCTTGTGCCACCAGGGAGCCCTCCCCTTTAGAAATTTCTTTACTGTATTGCCTCCACCGAGGTCTGGCTGAGGCCTGGCGGGACACATGACCTGGCTGGTGCCGAATTACTGGGCTCTGTCTCTGACCTCACAGGAAGATGTTCCCCTCACCTTTTACTTCCCAGTGGGTACAACGGGCGCTTCTTTATGTTGGCCCATGAGAACAGTCCTTGTTTCCTTTCCAAATGAACGTCTTGAGGACCGATGTTTGCAGAGCACGCGGAGTATTGCAAAATGTCAGTCCCCCCTTGTAAAGCGTTTGAGCACTTAATAGCAAGATAGCATTACCATACTGAAGAAAATTTGGAAAATGGGAGAATCCCTCCTAGTCACAGCGCGACCGCACCACCATCAGCGTGACGGTGCCCCCTCTGCCATTTCGTGTGTGCAGGCGTGTGACTCAGTTGTGTTCCCTATTTCATCTCTTGCTTCCTTCACTCATTTCATAGGCATTTATCCATGTTTGAAGGCTTTATTGTCGTTTCTAATGTTCTGTAACTTAATATTCTATAATCTTCTTAATCCATTTTCTTTGTAGGTCATTTGAATCATTTTTAATTAGAAACTTAAATAACAGGAATGAGGCTGACTTGCTGCCACACACCTTCTTTGCCTGGCCTCCCTGGTTTACCGTAGAGGTCTCACAGAGCCTGGTTGTTTGCTTTAGAGGTGTTCAGGGCCTCCGCTGCTGAACCCCTGATGTCCCTGCTTCCTGCTGGTCACTTTTGCTTGCTCTCGGCTGCTGCTGGACTGGACAGTTTCCCACTTGCCCCTTTTTCTGACTTTTGCTTTCTTCCAACAAGTGTGTCCTCTACTTTCTTCCTCACCAAAGAGGAGGCTTTGCACCAACCCTGGAGCCAGATAGCCAGCACCCTATTTCCAGCTCCACCACCACTAGTCATGTCCTTTGGCAAATTTAATAATCTTCTGTGCCTAAGTTTCCTCATCAATAAAATGGAAGTAACAGTGCAGGTGTACCATATCTTCCTTGCACTTCTGGGGCTATATGTTCCAGAATTTAGTACTTGGGGGACTTTAAAAATGTAATATGACGTGTACCCCTTTTTAGGTAGCGCCCTTGAGGGATGTGGGCAGCCCTGTGGTCACACACTCTCAATTCGCAGCAGAATCCTTGCATATTAAATGGGGCAGGAACTGCCTCCCACTGAGCTGCAGCAGCATGCTCAAGACAGCGAGGCAGTTTCACCGTCCAAATCCAGGCTGTGGAGAAGGGACTGAAGACGTTTGGAACCTCTCTCGTGGGGTGGTTGTGAGGCCTCACTGTGTGTGTGCGTATCTGCGTGTCTGCACGAAGTCAGGCTTGCCGGTCACACACCTTGTGGCTCCAGCTGTTGCTGCTGTTGTCACTGTTGTTACTACTAAATTTCCCGTCCTTCAAGGCCCTTCCGGCTCTGTTCTTTGCCTCTCTGCCCATCCCCAGTGTGACTGTGCGCGCCTGTGCTCTCTCCTCCCCTCCTTTCCCTGCTCTCCCCCCTCTCCCTTGCTGCTTCCCCCTCTCCGCTACCTTTGGCTCTCTCCTGTTCATTTGCACCTTTCTGGTACCTTCTGTCTTGCATTTGTAGTTGTTGAAACATCTGATTATGACACTGAGGACAAGTCCAGGGCCCTGGGGTTGTGCAGCCCCAGTGGTTGGTGACCCCAGAGCACATAGTACCGCAGCCCCAGTCCCGTTGTCATCCTTGGGCCCCTCCCAGTCACTTCCGACAGGGCCCTGCACAGAACGGAGGCTCGGCAAGGGTGTGTTCAGCCTGGCGGACAGTCACAGAGGCACAGATAGTATCCGTTTAGCTAGTTGTCATGTTGCTTTGTGCTTTTCTGCCTGGCTTTTCAGGAGCCTAGGCTCAGTGCTGTGTGCAGAGCCTGAGTCTTCGCAGGCACATGGTTGTCTGAAGCAGATGGGAGGTGCTTGTGCAACACTTGCCTAGTGACTAAATGCTGAGTCACGGTGATTCAGAGGTGGCTGTGATGTGGGGGCTTGGGAGCTTATTGCATAAAGAAATCCTAATTTTATTTTGTGTCTTGATTTTTGTGGTGGGTGGGACTGAACAGCCAACAAGGAGAGCCTGCCTGAATTGAGCACAGCACAACAGAACAAGCTGAAACACCTCACCATTGTGAGCTTGGCATCTAGAATGAAGGTAAGTCCTGGACCTTTTCTTGTCTTGCTCCCTTCCCTGGGGCTGGTATCTCGAGGGCATCAGGGCGGGAACTCCCAGCTACAGGCAGTCAAGTCACATCATAAATACAATATGCTTGGCAAAGGATAAAAGAGACAAAGATAACAATTACAATAATGTAGACAATTACTCACCCTTCCGTTCAGAAGAGTGCCCGGGAGCGCTGTGAGTCAGCGGGCCTCCGTTCTGGCTCGCCGTGGCGCTCACGTGCTCGTGCTGGGAGTGTCCTGCCAGGCTCGGGGTTTTCCGAACAGCTAAGCCTTTGCGGCTCGCTCACCACTTCTGTCGCTCCGTGCACAGAGGACGGTGCAACAACAGAGGAAAAGCTTGCTGTTGGGACTTATGGAGAGGTAGATTTTTTAATATGCCACCTTCTTGGGGTTTTCAAGCTTAATTATGCTAATCAGAATTGTTTCCTTACATGCTCAGTTTAGACCCTAACCCTAGGTACGATGCCAGTCCCCCATACCCCTGGCCCTATGCCCCACTTGGTGTAGAAGGAGCCTGCAGCCTGCTGCTCGTAACCCCTGGCAAAGAAGATCCAGACTCAGTTATTTATGGGTGGTTGGGCTCGCTGCCTCATTCGAGACTAAGGAGCTAAGTGTTGGAAGGGTTGTGCCTTTCAAAAAGTTTGCTTTTTGCGTGTTCCCTCTGTGATGAGCTTGAGAGTTATATATTCATGTGTGGCTTGCCATTTCAGTGCCTGAATTTTACCTGGTTTAATCATCAACTTCTGTGCCTCAGCCTGGCACTTGGGGTGGGTGGCCTAATGTTAGGAAATGAGGACCTGGCCTTTTTCTTGGCCTGATTGGCGACTTTTCAAGTGTAACAAAGACAGGCCCTCACTGCTGCGGCCTGTCCTTGTGATCTCCCCTGCTGCCCAGGCCGTTGCAGAAACCCCCCCTGGGTTTGTTCGCTCTTACTCTTCTCAGCTGCAGCTTCCTCCTGTCTCTGCAGAGTCCATTGCTGTGTAAATTTCCAGGCCAATAGTGACATATCCACGGGTTTGCAGAAAACCTGTTATTTTGATATCTGGCTGTGTTGGATAAATGCAGAATGTTGGTGTTGCCCAATAAAGGCTGATTGATGGGGGAATTGATGTTGGTTATGAGTCTGAGGAAACATGAACTGCAGATTGACCTGAGCCCATCTGTAGGTGGAGGCGTTTGCCTGTAAGTCTTTCACCTGTGCTCTGCCGAGCAGGTAGCCTCTCCTCCGTAGTGTCTTGGATTGGAGTTTGATGATCTAGCATTTTTTTGTATTCCGTGAGCTTCCAGAGGTGGCAGAGTGGCAGAGGCTGAGTATTTCCCTTTCTCCTTGGGAAGGAGGCTCAGTCTCAGAGTATGGTTCAGAGCGTGAAAACTGAAGGCTGAGTAAAATCCAGGAGGCAGAGGAGGACACATTCCTAGAGGCTGCGGCTCTTGTTTGGATTCGCCAGCCTTCTCTCATTGCCAGAGATGTTAATAATTATCCATGTTTCCCGGAGCCCTGATACAGCCGTTGGCCCCGTGGTGATGCCTGCCTTCCGTTAGTGCTTGCCAGGGCGCTTTGTAAACTCGTGACCTTCTCTGCAGTGTATCCCCTACTCAGTGCTGCTGAAGGACTTGGAGATGCGCAATCTCCGGGAGCTGGAGGATCTCATCATTGAGGCTGTCTACACTGACATCATCCAGGGCAAGCTGGACCAGCGAAACCAGCTGCTGGAAGTGGATTTCTGCATCGGCCGTGACATCCGGAAGAAGGATATCAACAACATTGTCAAGACCTTGCACGAGTGGTGAGACTGAAAGGAGGGAAGGGGCTGTCTGGCTGCCTGTCGTGCCTCGCTTGGAGACTGTGCTCTCCAGGTGTTACCTTGAACAACCTGGGAGCTGGGGCCTTGGGACACTTAGCCAGAATGCGCTGTGCTCATGACCGCTACTGTGTGGCCCGGGACCACGTCAGGCGGCCCGGTGCCGGCGGGGCAGTTTTGTTCTTGAGCAGCGGGGGCAGCTTGACAATAGGCTCTGCAGTGCCCAGGGCTGGCTGGCGGATCCTCGGCAACAGCTGTGTGACACTGACCCAAACTCAGCCTCGGGGTTTGGGCAGGCTCAGGAAGCTCACGTTGCCAGAGTCTGGGTGAGCGTCAGGAACATGTTGGGCTGGTGCGGGTGAGACACTGCGAGGATACTGAAGGCAAGAGGTGGCTTGTTCTGCATGGGAACACAGAACATTCCACAGCTCTATCTTGATATAGAAAAAGGAGTGGGACATTTGCACAGCTCTGTTTTCATGGAATTCGATGTTTGCGCGAGTTTTACATCCTGTGAACCGTGATGTTGCCTGTTGTATGGAGTTATTTAAATGCTCTGGGGTTTTAAAAACCAGAAGTGGGTCTCCTTGGTGGCCTAGGGGTTAAATCTCAGCACTATCAATGCTACAGCCTCAGTTCGATCCTGGGCCATGGCGCAGCAGACCTCTCCTGACTTGCCCACTGCTCCCCTCAGCAGTGTATTTCAGTCAGTCTGCACTGCTCCCCACTCTGTCGCCGGTGAATTCCCTCACCCCTGCACCTCTGGCCTGTACCCCAGCTCTTCTACACACATACATACACAAATAAAACCAGAAAGGTTTAGTTTAGAGAGATGACTTTAGCTGAGTTTTGAAGCAGGGCCAGGGTTAGTGTGTCACTGGGGGTGGGGCACACTGCGTACATTCCAGCAGGCACATGGCAGGTCAGGAAGCAGAAGGGTCAGGAAATTGTTTTCCCTCAAACATACCGAATCTCTGGCTTACCCCGAGGGGAGTATATTCAAAGATGAGGTGCCTAGCTTTGACCTCCTGAGGTCCAGTGCCCCTTGGAGTTTCTCTCACTTCAGCCACTTGGCCTCAGGGCATGTGCTGCCCACCCTTCACCCCTAGTTCTGCCTCAAGGGTGTCCCCAAACTTCTTCCCTTTATGATATCTTTCACACAGGTCAAAACATTGTAAAACTGTTAACTCAGAATAAATGGGATAAACGATCAACTAGCTCTAACATGAAAGTGGGCTGGCCTGAAAGGCCTCGCTGCCACTCCCTCTCAGGCGGGTTGCTCAGTCCCCTTTCTTGGAGGTCACTGCCACAGCGCTTGCCCCTTGTCTTGATTCCACGCTTCGCACCGGAAGTGCCATCCGAGCCCCCTGTCCGGGACGGTCACTAGGGAGATGGCTCACACTCACGTGAGGCGGGAGACTTAGCTGGAGAGCCGTGGTGAGGAGAGCAGTGCCTGGGGCGGGGACGCTCACCCTGACGCTGTGGGACCCTGGGCGCTCAGGTGCTCTTCTTTCAACTTTAGGTTTTAACTATTTCAGAGTAAGAAGCGGGGGAAAGGGAACAACGAGGGGGCTGGCAGTCAGGAGGAAAGGCGCAGCCTCCTGAGTAGGACGCTTTTGGGAAACAACCGCTTTCTGTTGAGATGATTCATCAGTGTCACATGTGAAGTCCTTCCTGCCGCCTCTAATCTCATTCGTAAAACTTTCCACGGGAGACCAAGCCTGGATATTGAAGCTGTTTTCTCAGAAACCACCCCGCATCCCCGTGGTCGTCTCCACGTGCCCGGCGTTGTGTGTTCAGGAGCGCGTTTGGGCAGGAGCAGAGGGGCGAGAGCCGCGCTTACTCCCCGCGGTGCCGCGAGCGGTGGGGAGGGCTCTCGGAGGCGGAGGGAGCTCCCAGGCCTTTGCGGCTCAGGCCTGGCTGTGTCCTCTGTAGGTGTGACGGCTGCGAGGCGGTCCTGCTAGGCATCGAGCAGCAAGTTCTGAGAGCCAACCAGTACAAGGAGAACCACAGCCGCACGCAGCAGCAGGTAGAGGCTGAGGTAAGGACGGGAACGCCTGTTCCTTCTCAGGGCATCCCTGTGTGTTCCTTGTCTCGTGAGCCTTGGTGTAGCGAAAACCAGCTGGCGCTGGGCTGGGTGCTGGGGACACACGAGTGACACGGCCCCTGAGTCCTGGTCCTCAGAGGCTGTGGTTCCTCAGAACATTTGCACTTTGCAGCTGCCGGGCAAGGAACAGAGGTCGGGGTGGACCTCACAGGCGGGGAGGGCAGTGACCATAGTGGGTGGCAGGAGGGGTGCAGTTGGGCAGGGGTGAAGGGGTTTTCCAGGCCTTGCTTCTGCTCCACTTTTTTGAGTGGGAGGTGCCCAGTGTTCATTTTCCTCTAAACGGTACATTTACCTATTTTTACCTTTGAAATTCATGATCAAGTTTATGCTGAAAAAAGGGAAGGAATTGGGATGAAATGCAAGTGATGGTGAAAGTGTGTGGTTGTGATTGTTGGTGTCACCTGATGTTCAAAGACATGTTTCACCTTCGGCGGGACACAGGCTCCAGCCTCTGAGTTACCGGGGGTGTGTGGGGTGCCTGTAGCCCAGACACCTGTGACGTGACCTCGGTGTGTCTGCAGCCTTGGAGATCAAAATGTTAGCCATTTGGGACTAACCCGACAGGGTGTCAGGCACTGACGGTATTGACTGGATTCCGTCAGTCGGGCGTCCACAGGGCTGCGGCAGGGTGAGGCCGGAGTTGTAGCTGAGGAGACATAGAATAGACGTGTCTTTCAAAGTGGGGGGATTTGGGAATTTGGAGATTTCCCCGACTGTAATATGTGCTCCTTGAAAATAGCGCCTATGTGGTCGTTAGCCCATCGGAGCAGGTCCTGGCTCCACGCCAACCCCACGCAGGTGGGCACATGTTTGTGGAGCTGTTTCAGCACACCTGTAAGTGTTGGGCTGCTGGACCCTGCTCTTCAAAGACTGGAGTGAACTTATTGGCTGCACACACTGTGCAAATCCACCCCCGCTAGGATGTTCAGTCTGGCGTTCAGTCACTTTTAATCTTCCAGTCACAGAAGTGTGAACGACCATGGGTTCCCGGTTTGCTTTCTGTCACTATAGATTAATTTGCATTTTCTGGGACTTCAGATACGTGCAGTCGTACTGGATTTGCATGTGTTCCGTCTGTCTCTCGTGTGCCACGATTAGTTTTGGACTCAGCCTGGTGGGGCAAGTCGCTCCTTTCTCTTGCTGAGGGGCGTACACCTGCCACAAGACGTCTGTGCACAAAAAAGAGAAGTCTGAACTACGTTTAATTAATTAGCGTTTACAAAGAGCCCAGTGCTCGTCTCCTAAGGTGCCCGATCATCCTCCTGAGTGTTGCGGCCCCTCTCTGACCTGGGATGCATTCCTGTGCGGTGTAGGAAGGGCGCCCACTTGCTCCTCTGCACTGGTGCTTCCCTGTAAGTCAAATCCTGGAAACTAGTGAGGTTTGGGGTGAAATGTTCCTGACTGACCCGGGCAGCTTTTGTGAAGCCAACTCCTTAACGTAGTCACCTGGAAGGAGCCGGTCACCTCTGCCTGCCTCGGTGTCTAGACTGCCGTGTGCTAGGTGGTGGGCAGGAGTTGTGGGCGCTGGCGGAGGTGGGGGGTAGTAGTTGCAGAGTTGTGAATGGTTCAAGTTTGTTTCTGTGACAGGTGGTACCTGCTCAGAGAAGGTGGGCATGAGCAGCGGCGCTTTGGACTCCTGGCTAATGTTGAGGCACACTGAGAAGCACATTCAATAATTACACAACAATGTGGACTCTTTAAATTGTGCTTATTTAAAAAAGTAAAGAGCCAGAGTCCCAGGCTTGCATCGGAGGCCCGTTCGTTGTTGGCGAACGGGGCCGCCTCTGCCTGCAGGACCTACTGCTGCCACCAGGTGGCGCTAAGGATTTACTTCAATTTGGAAGAAAATTTGCTCTCGCCCGCCTGTGTCTGGGCATGTGCCCCCCCCTTTCCATTTTTTCCTTTTCCTGATAAACCTGTTCTTTCCAAATGTAAAAAAAAGAAGAAAGAAATTTGTGGGGGAGGTAAAGGCCACCCCTACCACCCAAACAATCTCCTGACTTAATAATTCCTAGAAAATTTGGAACAGCCAATGTGAGAAGGGAGGGAGCTCGGTCAGCCCTGACCAGCAGCTGCATGGCCTGGCCACTCCGGGCTGCAGGCACGTGGACGGGACGCACTAAACAGAGCTGCAAGGAGCAGAGGGTTATTCTGCATGTTCTGCTTGGATTATGGTTCTGTTACTCTTGACCTAACTTTTTGGGTCATTTTCTCTACTGGGTTGGTAATCTTTATTTTTCCCTAGAGTTAGGCTTGCTTTTAGAGGGAAAAACTTGATGTTTTTCCACCAAAATCTTTTAAGCACCACTTTCTTCTGGTGAATTGTAGCTTCTAGTGCCTTCCCTCTTAGTGCAGTTGGCCCCATCACAGACTGCCTGAGAGTGGTCTCTCCTGTTAGCCTTTCACAAAAATAGCACGTATTAATTAGTTACACACCTCGCTCTGTGAGGGAGCTGAAATAGAAGTAGTATTAGCTTTTCATTCTCTCTGAGCAAGGACGCTGGAGGGGAGCTTGTGATGAATTGAAGCAGCATAAAGTGAGTCTTCTGTGGATGTGACTGTGGAGTGTATTTTTGTTTGTGTTAGGATGAGCTGATACCTGATGTTCTGTGGAATGTTAATATGAAGCTCTCACTACAGCTACAAAATAGGTGTCTCAGTCATGCGGGTACTAAAGCATCATTGTTTTCCATGAAGTGGAAAATCCCCTGTGCTGAGTTAGTGGCGAGCCCGAGGTCAGCCGGCTGTCAGCCCCGCGCAGCGCACAGTGGCAGGCAGGGCCCTGCTCCTTGGCGGATGTCTCCAGCTGTGCTCCGTACTTCCTGTTGGCCCCTGGCTTTGCTCCCCAGTGAGATTTTCCTGCCCAAGAAACTCTTTTTCTCTCCTTTTGCCTGGATATTTAAGGCCTCTGATAGGCCTGGCCTGCAGTTCTGTCAGGGGCAGTTCCATCTGAAAGTTCCTCAGGCCCGTATTTTGAAGAGCTTGACAAATTCCAGGTCATCTGGGGTAAAGGGGCCTGCAGGCCAGGCCACTTGAGAAGGAAAACTGGAAGGGACCAAGACACGTAGGCTGAGGAAGACAGAGGAAGACAGGACGTTGGGGGTACTTGTCTCATCTCGGGCATGGCTCTGTGCAAGAGGAATCAGCTGTAAGGCCTGAAGCACGAGGCTGAAGCAAGTTGAATTGGTGGACTCCCCTGGGTGGCCACCCTTGGCTCCCAGAAGAAGCCATTTTCAGTTGGACCTGCCGGCTGGTGGAAGAAACTGCTCGCCGCTTCCCGCACCTCAGCCATGACGGCTGTGTGTGTAAATGCTGGTGTCGAACTGACTTGAGCGGGGCCTGTCTCTGCAGTAGAGGTGGGAGGGCCCTGGCCCCGGGCTGTGCAGGCCGAGACTTCATTGGGGGTACAGGGACCTTAAGCTAAGGACACTTGCTCAGGAAGTTCTCTTTCCTGGGGGTTTGTGTTTGGCCCTGGAGTGATAAGGACGACTGCAGGCTGCACTCCTCATCAGGCTTGCGTGGACACCGGAGACAGCGCTGAGGACATCTGTCAAGGTGGAGGACCTGCCGGCCGGGTCAGGGCAGGTTGAGGGAGGCTGTGTTATGGGCGGGTCAGGGCAGGGGAGGTGCTGGCTCTCCAGGTAGGAGCAGGAGTAGCCGAAGGGGAGGTGCACCGGGCTGACGGGGTGCAGGACAGGCAGGAAGGCAATGACTGCAGCATCAGGTGGGAGGGGACGTACAGCATCTGAGGTGGTGTTTCAGAAATGGAGAAAGAACCAGTTGTTCTGTGAGGTGAGCCTTGTTTCTGTCCTGGGTGCTGGGGTGCTGACTCACTGTGCGAGAGGACACGGCCGGAGACCAGCATTGAGTGTCGGGGAGGGCTGCGTCGCTACTTTGGGTCAAAAGTTTTTTTGTTTTTCAAAATTTTTTAAGATTTATTTATTTATTTATACAAGCACTGGGTACAGTCAGAAGCGCGGGAAGGTGAGAGAATTCACCAGAGCCAGAGCAGGGAGCAGAGCAGGCAAAAGGACCGAAGCACACTGCTGAGGGGAGCAGCGGGCAGCAGGAAGCCATGTGGGACCCTCCTCTGGTGGCCGGGGAGCAGCCGGGGATCGAACCGGCGCTGCAGAGGCTGCGGGCAGCTTCGCAACCAGCGCTCAACCGCTGCGCCACCGGGGAGGCCCTGGGTCAAAAGTTTTTGACAGGATCCTGAATCACAGACTTTCAGAGTAGCCTGGAGTGACCACGTGGTGATGGGGAGCCTATGTTCCCACGGTGGGGAGCAGGGGCCTTCTGTGGATGGAGGTCGGGACGGGGCAGGTGCCCTCAGGAACTGGGACAGGACCCTAGGGTTTCCTGTTACGAACCAAACTGTGTGAAGCTTGAAGTGCCGAACTTGGGGGGGTGGGGGTGGGGCGAGCAAGAGCGTCAAATAGCAAGTCGCCCAGGTCTATCGAGGTGGTCGCCGTTGAGAGGCCGACAGGAAGCCCTGACTTTGTGAGTGGGTGCTGGGGTGGCTGTGCCCCAGGGTGGAGCCTGTACCCAGACTTCCCCACTATGTTTGACTCCAGAGCTAGCCCAACCCACGAAGGCCACGCTAAAGCACGGTGCCCACCTTTGCTGTCTGCTGGGCCTGCGGACGCACAGAAACACGGGAGGAGCGGTCGGAAGGAAACCTTCCCTTGGGGATTGATTCGGTGCCTCGTCCTCATTCCTGCGGGGTGACCGCCCTGTCAGTAACCCTCAGCTGTGTGAAACGACAGGTCCAGTAAAAGGAGGAACGTGGAAATGACTAGAAGCGATAGTATTGGCTGGTTTTTAATAAAAATTATTGCACCAAGGAAGTAGGTTGTTAAATGGCACCGTGAGCCCAGACGAATGAAGGAAAGTGCTTTCCTGTCTTGCTTTTAATAAAACCCTGACAGCCCCCTGCGCCCTCCATCCCTGAGAACGTGGAAACCTCTTTACTTTCTCACCAGCCCATGTGCCCGCCTCAGCTTTCTCTCCTTCCTACTGATTTTGAAGTATGGCTTCCTCTTTTGCTTTTCTTCCTCTCAGCCGGCTGAAGGGCAACGGCAGAAAAGACAGTCGGGCTGGTGGGGGAACGTGTGTCGGGCAGGTGTGGGGCGGTCGGTGATGGCCACGTCGAGAGCCGCTTTTTGGAAGGCGACGTGAGGGGTTAACAACATTTAAACCGTGCCAGCCCTGTGATCTGGGAAGTTCACCCCTTGGAAGACGCCCTCCGTAGGTGTTCACGGCGGAATGTCAGGGCCCACATGGGAAGCCGTTCAAGGAGCGCCACACACAAGTGAAAGCAAACTGGGAACTGACTTCGGTGGCTGAGTGTCCCGGGGACGCGGGAGCGGCCTGAGCCCCTCTGGACTGGGAGGAAGTGCGGCCGGCGGGGTGCCATGGCACCGGCCAGGTCTTCGGTGGCGTGCGTGCGCGCGCTCTGGCTCGTCTGAGGCTCACCCTCCAACTCTTCATTCAGGAAGGGCCTGTGGAGCCGTGTTCCCGAAGCTCTTGTGAAGGTTCCTGTGGCTTCATGTCTAAACAGCCGCTGGCGGAGGAGGGAATCTTGGGTCACCCTTTCTCTTCCCAGGGCCACGAACGCCCGGCTTTCTCGCCCCTTCGGCCCTGTGCCTCTGTCAGACGGTTCGCTTGCCTTTGCCTTGGGCCGGCAAACAAGCACGCGCTGTCCCGCAGTCTGCTGGGCTCGCCGCTGCGCCTCCCCCAGGAGTTGCCCCGGCTTGTTTCTGGCCATAACTCAGCTTTTCTTCTCTTTTCCTCATCTGTTTGCATGAAGAATTATCGGTGGTTGATTCTTATTGCCGAGGTACAGCCCGTCGTCTGAACGTATCACACGTTCGTCAGTTCCATTTGTGGGCGGACATTTGTCTTGTTTCCAGGTTTGACTGGGGGTCTTAGTCTAACAGAAGATTCTGGTTCCTTCCCCAGATGGTTCTCACTCTGGCGAGAGCAGGTTTAGTGAATTTCCAGTGCTTACAGGCTGACACACCCATTGTGTCTCCTCCAGGTGACCAACATCAAGAAGACACTCAAAGCCACCGCTTCGTCCTCGGCTCAGGAGATGGAGCAACAGTTGGCTGAGCGGGAGTGCCCGCCCCACGCTGAGCAGAGGCAGCCCACCAAGAAGATGTCCAAAGTGAAAGGTCTGGTCTCCAGCCGCCACTAGGGCTGGCTGGGGCAGCTGGCGCTCACCAGGCCTGGGTCAGGTGGGGAGAGGACACCAGGGCCCGTTTCCTCCCTCTCTACCTGCAGTGAGTTCCAGACCTGCCCGTCCCTCGCCAGCACCCCCACCCTGTTGGTACTGTTCCGGAAGAACCGTTAGCTCCTTCTCCTCACCTCCCACCCCCACCCCAGTTGTTCCCTACAGACTCAGGGGCTCCACTGAGATGCCATCCCACAGGGCCAGACTTGTCCAGCTCTCCTCCAGGAGGTTCTCGTCTCTGTGAAAGGGCTTGTCTTCCCTCCCAGTTTTTCTTTTGCTCCATGTCATTTTGTTAGGCTGGTCATTAGCCGGCGGCAGCTTTACCGGCCCCGGGCATGACTGTGGAGGAGGCCCCTCTCGCGTGGGGTGGGCTTCCCTTCTCCAGCCCACGTGCCGCAGCTCCCACAGCGGTGCAGCCCTCTTAGCCAGGTGTCCACGTGCTGGGCTTTCCCTCTCCTGCCTTACCCCGTGGTAGCGCCGAGCAGGCCCTGGAGGGCTGTGGTGCTGGGCTATGTTTACTAAACCCGTGGGTTTGCAGCCTCTTGAGCCCAGCTCCATCTCTCACTCGTCGGGAGCCCTGGGTTGACTAAGCTCCGGTGTCTGCACACCAGTGGAGGATGCTGGGGCAGGCCGGGCGCACACGTTTCTTCTGGCTTGGTCTTCTCTGCTGGCCTGCTTCCTGCTGCTCCCAGGCTGATGTCCGCTGTGAAGGCCCCACCCCCCACTGGGGCTGTCTGCTGACAGTTGCTCTCCCGAGATCTTTGGTTCCTTCTGGCCACATCCGTGGCGGGCATGGCGGTGCGAGGCCCCTCTCTTTGGTGAGGGCCTGTTGCTGCTTCTGTCTCTTTCCACCCCCACCCCCTTCACCCCCACCCCCGCGGATGACCCAGAGCCCCTGATGATGGCGTCTCCTGGTGAGGGAGAAGGACTTGACTAGCCTTTCTGAACTTGAACAGTTTCAGGTTATAGTTTACTTTTTTTTGTACAGGTTCTGATTCTAATACATTTCAACATGCTTTTTCCCCCCTCGTGTCAATATTTGTTATGGACAAATCGCCGGGGAGTTGTCTCTGGTGGAGGGTGAGGTGTGTGTTTGTGTGTGTATTGTTTTTTTAAGGGGGAGGTGAACATCCTGGGCTGCCAATAAAGTTCATTGAGGGAAAAGCACATTTTAGAACAAAAAATAAAAGTGTAGATTGACTGTATGTGGCTATGGAGTGTGGGGTTGTGCAGTGGCGGGCCTCGGGGGGCTGGTCTCAGGGGGCTGGTCTCAGGGCGGCCCAGGGGACCGTACCTCAGGGAAAAGGTGGATTTCTCCTCATCGTACGCTGTCCGGAGCTGCCTCCCGTTGGTGGAACGTTCACGAAGTGTTCTTGTCTCCCTGATAAGCTGGTCCACGTGCCCCTGGAACGCTCTGCCTGCCTGAGTATTACGTTTCTTTCCAGTGTTTCCTGAGGCCCCTGACGTGCTGGGTGGGAGGGGTTCATCCCGGCCTCTGGGTCCTCGCGGAGAGCTGGTGTTCAGGTCTCGGACGCCCTGGGTGACGACGCCGTTCCCACATCCGTTTCGCCACTGAATCCTTTTCCCTAAGACCCAGCAGGACACAGTTTGGGGAAATTTTGGAAACACATTTCTTAAAAGCACCGCCCAGCCTCCGTGGTTTTTCCAGCTTTTCTTCCTAGACCCCAGACACGCCCGGTTACGCTGGGCCAGCGGCTGAGTAGCGTTACGGTCACCCTCAGTTCCGAGGGAGCGAAGGGAAACGCAGGGCCAGTGTGCCCCAGTGTAAGTGGCAGCTGAAGACTCCTTGCCCGTCCTGCCATCTGCTGTCTTACGTTCTAACTCAGAGTCTGCACCCAGACCCACCCTTTGCACCCCTCTACTTGCTTGTTCCTCCTAGGCCTCGTCTTGTCTTTAACTGACACCCAACTTACACGGCCTCTGCTTCCCAGAGCCGCCCAGCCACTTGCTAAGGGGCCAGGGAGTGTGGGGTTGGGAGGTCCCGGAGCTGTGTGAATGGCCAGAATGTTCCTCTGGCCGAGAGGGACTGCCAAGAGGCCTGGCCTCCAAGCTCTGCTTCGGCCACGGGCTGGCTGTGATGGCCAGTTCGGCGTGTCCCTCTGAGCACAACACAAGAGAGGAGGTGTCCTCATCAGCAGTGAGGCCTCTCAGGTTGGGGAGACTACACCGTGGAGCGAAACTGAGCTTGGTGTGGGGCCTGTGGGCTGGCTCTGCCACCTGTGACTGAGCCATCTGCCCCCGAAGTCTGTTTTGGTCTCTGCTGCCCAGGTGGGAGGTGTGTGGGTCCTGCTTGGGTAAGGTGAGGGAGGTGGTCAAAGCAGATCCGAGAAGACCCCCACTGAGAGCAGGCTCCCCGGGAGCCTGGAGTCTGAGGGGATGGGGTGGTGAGCTGAGGTGGTCAACAGCTTGTTCCATTTTACATGTCTGCCTCTGATGCGTGGGGCTGCCGAGCCCAGCCCCTTGCCGTTCTCCCCTCGAGTCATTCTACAATGACGGCCGGAGACTTCTGCTCACGCCGTTCCTTCCACGCCAGGTGCTGGAGCTCTGATGGCGCCCCCCGCCCTGGGGTCTGTGCAGCTGCACGTGCGCTCACTCCCCACGGGGGGCTTCCCTGCTGGCACTTTCCCGTACCCTGAGGGTACGCGCGGACCTTTGGAACCTTCGCCTGTTAGGTCGGTCCCCTGTGTCTCGACTCGGGAGGGTGAAGGGGTCCTCACCCTTATGAAAGGGATGTGGGGCTTGTTAGCCCTGAGAACTGTTGTCCTCGGGTAAGAGCCCTCGGGAAGGCAGTCGTGGGGCAAGCCGAGGAGGCGCCGACTCCTGCGTGCGCGCCCAGCGCCTTTGTGGCAGGCCTCGCTGTGGAGTCACCGGGTGGCCTTCGCCCCCGGACCGCTGGCGAGCCCGCGTTGTTGTCTGCAGCCTTAGCTGCGTGCCCGGAGCTGTGGCCATGCTGTCACCCGCCCCCGCGGGCTCACCTCTCCCGGCAGCTGCTAGGAGCGCCGAGGTTCTCCGAAGGCTCAGCTGACGGGCATCTTCCTGCGCCCAGTGAAAACGACATTAGCCGGGAAACCACCCCCCCCAGCCTGCCTCTGTTCTGTCGGGGCGGGAAAGACACCCCTTCCCATGCCGTGTCCGACCACCTCCCTTTTCTCCCCAGAGCCTCCCTGGCATCGGCCCCTCTGATGGCCGCGGGCGCTGCAGAACCTCAGCACGTGAAGGGGAGGCCCCCTGGGGCGATGCCCTCTCCAGCCGCCACCTTTTTCCTTTAAACAGACGGGCTCCTTGAGAGCTTTCCAGCCTCTGCCTCGGCGGCCTCCCGCATCCACACCGTGCTCCGCGCCTGTGACTTGGGCCCGCCCAGCTTGTTGTCGAGGAGCTCGTGATCGCCAGGACTGTGGCGGGAGCCCTGTGCCACGCTGGCACCGCGGAACCCACTGCAGGCGTCCTTCGTCTCGTGGCCCTGTCCTCTAGGGCCCCTTCTCGTTCTCAAATGTCTTCGGGCCTTCTCTGCCTCTGGAGCTGTGCTGGAGGTTGGCTCAGCTTCCTTGGTGACCATGTCTCGCTTTTGTGAGGTCATCGGACTCCCTTGAGGTGCCACCGCCACAGGCAACACCCAAATCCATCTCTGCTCATTCTTCCGCCCTTTGTAGGCAGTAGCCAGGGGGCATCTCTGCTCACCACCTCTGGGTGCCCGCAGGCAGTAAATGGTGACGCTCTCCGCCAGGGTGACATCATCACACCCCAGGCGGCTTCGAGGGCAGACTGCCTGCCTCACCATTCAGGAGGCTGCAAGTCCATCGTCAAGGTTTGCTGTCTTCTGCGGCCTCTCATTGGCAGATGCCAGCCTGTCACTGCGTCCTCGCGGCCTTTCCTCTGTGCCTGTCTCCCCTCATCTCTGACTTTCTCACAAGGACGCCAGCCTCCTGGGCTAGGGCCCCACTTTTCTGACCTCATTTAACCTTAATTGTTTCCTTAAGGTCTATTCCCAATTAGGCCCACAGGGGTTGGGGCTTCATTGAATGGGGGTGGGGGGGGGCATATAATTCTTTTCATAAAACTCAGTTACCTGAGCCAGAACCTGGGGTTCATCCTCAACCCTGCCCCAAATCAATTTACCACTTCCTATTAATTAATTAATTTGTTTTAAAGATTTACTTATTTATGCATACAGGAGCTGGGTGTAGGGCAGAAGTGTGGTAGAGGTGGGGTGAGAGGATTCACCAGAGACAGAGTGGGGAGCAGAAGAGGCGGATTGACTGAAACACACTGCGAGGCAGGAGAGGTCTGCTGTGCCGTGTGGGTAGCTCCCTGGCCAGCAGGGGATCGAACTCGTGCTGCAGTGCCTAGCGATAGCTTGATAGCGCTGCCTTTAACCTCTGCGCCACCAAGGAGGCCCCCACTTCCTATTTTCAAACCAGTCATCTTTTATTGGCTGTTAATTCTCAGTTGGGCTGTGAAAGGACTCAGGTGCCGGGGCGGGCCCGGCCAAGCCCTGCTCACCAGTGTCTCTGAAGCGCCCCGGCAGTACCTGTGGGGTGACTCTGCGTCTGTCACTTTGGCAGCTGCCCCAGTTTGACATCCAAGAGTGTCTCAGCGGCGCTGCGTGTCGCCAAGAAGGCCAAGAAGCCCGCTGGCCACGGGGGCATCCTTGTTGCAGCTCAGGTTACCACGAGGCCTGAGCCCTGGCTTTGGCTCCCAGGGGCGCCCTCGCTAGTTGTCACCCTGCACAGGGCTCTCCACACCAGACTGCTCAGCGCGTACCTCGCGTGGTGGATACGCCTCCTGGGGCATCACTGACTTCGGTGTGGGAAGAAGGACGGAAGCTGCACGGAGCGTCCAAGTGCAGGGCCAGAGCTGGGAGGCGGTCCCGGCGGCACGTCCTCCAGTCTGGAGTCACATCGCCCGGCTGCCCGCACCCTCCACGATGCCACTGGGGCGCGAACTAAGGACCAGTCTGGGCTCCGGGGAGGCTGCCGAGGCCCTGAGCGCAGGGCAGTCCTGGGCCCCCAGCCCGACCTCTGGGCCCTGCCTCCAGCTTGGAGGCCTCACAGGACCCCTGCGCTCCCCAACCTACTTACATTCAGTTATTTTTACCTTTTCCATTTTGTCTCCCACTTAAAGCTTTTGAACATTCATTCATTCATTCATTCATTCATTCAGTGCAGACGCTGGATACCCATTATGTGCCAGGGATACAAAGGTCAAGAAGTGCACGATGAAGAAAAGTACATGCAAAGAAATGATGAAGGTAAATGCAGAAATAAATTACCAGTAAAATCAATGGTTTTTAAAAATGAAATATACTTGGCAAAACTAGTGGGGAAAAGGCGATAAAGGAACGAAGAAGTTACGATTTTCAAAACGTTGGCCGCTATCAATTTGAAACTTAATGATACAGATAATTTTCTGGCAAAATTATTAAAAGTAGAACTTAATCATAAAAAGTAGAACACGAACTGGATAAAAATGAAATAAAATTTCAGCTGCTACAGATGTGACCTCTGAAAAGGCTCTGGGCTCATTGTTTTTTGGGTGGGTTCTTCATTAAAGGATGAATGATTCCTTTTCGTCCTGAACGGACCAGTTTTTCAAAAAAGGAATGGAAACTCAATTAAAAAAAATCCTTCCAGTTGAACCTTACTCAAACCCAAGGGAATTTTTTTCTCTCAAGGTAAGCGTATACGTGCAGATGTGACGAATTCTGTAGGATTAGCCTTCTGCCCGAATGGCACCTAGGAAGCTACAGGTCTCCTCCACTGAGAAGGCGGGGGGTGGGGGCTGAGGGGGGGTGTGTGTGTGTCCACTCTGACCGCCGGTCACTCCCCGCCAACCTCCCCACCGAGGCCTGGGCCCCCAGGCACAGTCGGGTGAACAGTGCTGCTTCAGGCACCCAAGGGTGTCTTCAGTCTCTGGTTTCTTGAACACCTGGGGGTGGGGGCAAGCCAGGCCAGGGAGAGGCAGGCGGCCTGCTGGTGCGGGGAGGCCTGCAACAGCGTATGTGATCCCCAACCCTATGCTTCCCTCATCTGAAAAGGGAGCAGAATCCCCCCGCCCCCCAAGCCGGGTTGTGAGGATTCCAGGCAAAGCCAGCCTCGGGGTGGGGGGGTGCGGGGGGGGTGGCTGGTCTGCTGGCGCCTCATCGCAGAGGTTTGGAGCAGAGCACCTTGGTTCGGAACCTGCATCTTGATTGGTCCAGGACAGACCTTCACCAGCCCGCA